CCCCCTCCCCTCCTTTTTTTGTCTCTTTTATCAATTCGCGTGATTAATTAAAAACAACAACAACAACGCCAACAAGAGTTACGCAAGGCACGCAGACCAGAAAGAGAGAAAGAAAAAAGTCCTCACGCTTATTCGGGAAGGGAGAAACGCTTCTCTCTCTTTACTATAGAAGAAGGAGGCTTCCTTGCTTTCTCCGTAGCCCTTGCCGCACTAGCGTACACGCCAGCTGAAACGGGCTGAAGTGCTGATGCAGTGCACCTCCATAGTGCGCTCGCACGCACGCCGCGCTTTCTGTGAGTGCAGGAAGATGACCTGGAAGAGCAAAGATCATGGACACAGGCATGACAACCTGTCTGCTTTCTTTGACGATTTCTTTCCTCCCCCCCCCCCTCTCAGTCAACGGTGTCCAGAGGAAAAGAAGGAGTAAGTATCACCCTTGTGGCCATCCGCATCCGTCAGCCATCGCTTCCACCGCCTCTCGAGCCTACAGATCGCGGAGCAGCGACGAGTAGAGCAGCTCGCTATCGCACAAGGCGTCAAGGTGGTCCGTCTGCTCGCGCAAATGCTTCATCAGCAGCATCGTCTCCGCATCCTGGCCCACCGGCACGTTGCCGTTGTCCTTTGCATTGCCCTCTTTATCCAGGTTTGACTTCAGCTGCTCCGTGTTGCTACGGATGGAGCTCAGCAGCGCCTCGATGTAGTTGCCGACAGCCAGGCTCTCAATTGCCTTGAAGGTGTCCGTGACGGGGTTCGTGTGGATGTGCAGCAGGTTCAGCTTGTGGAAGGCGTCCACGTCGAGCTTCACCGGGATCTCATGCAGCGCGCCGTGCTTCGTGATGCCGCTCTCCTTCGCGTAACCCGCTAAGCCGCGCCGACGCTGGTAGCTGCGCTCCTTCGACACCAGCACGTCATACTTGTAGTACGCCTCCGTGGGCGTGAAGGCGCGGATGTAGGGGCGGCCCAGCAGGCTGGTGCGGAAGGGATCGTAGATCAGCAGGATGGCCGGCTGGCTCTGGTCGTGCAGGTCGCGCAGCTTATCCATGGTCCGCTTCGAGTACGGGTTGAAGCGAGCGCTGCACACCACAAACTGGCCAATCGCGTTGGTGTCGAGGAACTCGTCCGAGTAGGCGGCCTCGTGGATGTTCATGTCGTTGCGCAGCAGCTCTCGCTCCTTGCGCAGCCGCTCCGTAAACTCCTCCTGCGACATGCGGTCCTCCTCCTCGACGTCGATGCGGGGTTGAAAGCGCACATCCGTGATGGAGACGGCGTCGCCGATCTGCAGGCCGATGACGTCGCCGAAGATGTTCTGGCTGCTCGTGGCACTGCGGGCGTTGTACAGCAGCGCACACACGGCGGGAAAGGACAGCTGCACCGTCTTGGGCAGCGGAAACTCGGTGCACATCACGCACCCGCTCTCATCGAACTTCTCCTTCTCCTCGTCCACGGCCGGCTGCGCCTCCGTCACTGGCAACTTCGGGAAGCCCGCGTACATGATGAAGAGGGGAGGGAGAGAGGGGGATAAAGAAGAGGTGCTCACAGAGAGAGAGAACAACAAATGAAATACCTGTGGTTGTGCGGGAGACGGCTAGAGGTTCGCGTGGGGACAGCAACAAGAGAAGGTGTGTTTGCTTTTCCTGTTTTCTATTAGCATCATTATCATTATGTAGGTGTGTGTTGTTGTTGATGATGATGATGATCCCAAAATGTGGAGTGAAGAGCGTGATTCGATGAACGGAAGCAAAGCAAAAAGAAGACGAGAAAGACAGCAGTGGATGACGAGTGAGAGAAGGACCGCTGCTGCACGGCGGTACGAGATCCGCGGCAAGCTACCCGTGCAGACCTTGCACAAGAAGCATTGGTTTTCTTTTCGCATGGCCGTCAGCCACCCGCGCCGCATGCGGCATCGTCCAACACGGGGAAAGGGGAGGGGGAAGAGAGAACGGTTTCCGCTGGCCCACCAGCGCGTAGCGACACGTGGAAGAAGAAAACAATAACAATAACCGACATGAGAGCTAGATGGGGGAAAAAGCTTCGTCTTCAGCCACCTCAATTGCACGACCGCCTACATCCTCAGCTGCTCAGGTGGTCACCCAGGGAGAGTCTTCTCAACGTGCTAGCTGTGGCACGGCACATCCCACCTTAGGGATGGTTGAACAGATTAACAAAAAGCAAAGGTTGTACTCTCAACCATTTGTATATATATATAAGTGAACGTAAAGTTCTCATAGGAGGCTGATACGGTGGTCCCTGGATGATAGTGAAAAGAAGAAAAGGGCAAAAAAAAAGAAGGGGCCGAAATCAGAAGCACAACGAGCCCGCAAATCTGTGGAGTACAACAAGTCGCGAGTCGTTCATCTTCTTCCGGCCGCATTTTGACTTGAGAGACACAACAACAGGCACATGCGGAGAGAAATATATAAAAATAATTTGGCCGAGTGCGCGTTGCTGCCCACACGTTACTTTCAACTGATATTACGATTACTTCCTTCTTTAGAGACGCTTGCCACCACAGTTTTCGGATTTGCTGATCTCTAGTTTTCCTCTCCCTCCTCGCGCGCGCGACACGCCTCAACACGCCGACGGTGAAGCTGACTTAGGCACACGCCGCACCAGCGAATCAAGCGAATAGATAAAAAAAACGGGAAACAAAAAATGGGAGGAAAATAGAAATTGTTGATGCTGCGTGCTCATTGTTGACGACGAAGGCACACAGCGTGTAAAGGGAGAGCACATCGAGCGAAACCGCCAGAGAGCCACAACGGACCCGCATAAGAAGGCGCGCGCGCAGAGGGACAGAGCAAAAAAAAAAAAGCAGGCTGCAGCAGATTGTGCGTTTGCTGGTTGGTAGTTGTCCGTATTTCTTTATCCCTTTGGCGAGGTTAGCTTCACCATTTGCTTGTACACGTTGTGCGACAACTCCGAGTTCATGTCGCGATCCCGGTACGCACGGCGGAACGCGTTCACCACCTTCAGCGTCTCCACATGCTCCGCGTACACGCGGAACCACAGACTGAGCACACGTGCGTGGGTGGCCTTGTGCAGTGCCTCGCCACACCGTCCAGCGCGCGCGTCCGCCGTGTGCTCGACGTCCTTCGCCAGCTTCACCAGAAACTGTCTCGCGTCCTCATCGACGTTGTCGGCGTCGAACTCACGCTTAAACTTCAGCTCCCGCGCCGGGATGCAGCGGGAGGCCATGCCCAGCGGGATGTTGAAGAAGGTCAGCACGAGGGTCGCCGTCCACTCCGAAAAGTGCAGTCGCGTGACGTCCATGAAGTCGCCGAAGGCCTCCACTGCCACGAGCTGAAACACGACGCAGAAGCCCACGACACCAAGGAAGGCCTTGGAGCGCTCAAAGCCCTCAAAGACATCGATCTCGTCGTACAGCTTCCGGCAGTTGAACATCTGGAAAAGCGCGCCGAACACAAAGACGTTGAAGACGAAGGTCTGGTGCTCGCGGCTAAACTTCGGGATGTTGAACCAGCGGAAGCCGACACTCTGCGTTACGAGGGTGACGATGAGCTGATACAGAGCAATGACACCAATCGTGACGTGCATGCGGCGCGAGATGAGCGGGGCCTTGCGGCTGACAGGACCACGACGCAGACAGTCCTCGCTCGGCTCCTCCGTGGCGAGGGCAAGGGCGGCAAGCGTGTCCATGATCAGGTTCACCCACAGCAGCTGCACCGTCGTCAGCGGCGAGGACGCGCCGCCCGTCATGACCGACCCGATGAAGGTCAGCGCCACAGACACGTAGTTCACCGTCAGCTGCAGCTGCAGGAACTTGCGGATGTTGTCGTTCACACACCGGCCCCACACAACGGCGCGCTGCACGGAGCGGAAGTTGTCGTCCAGCAGCACAATATCCGCGGACTTCACGGCGATATCCGTGCCGCTCCGCATCACAAAGCCCACATTCGCCAGCCGCAGCGCAGGTGCGTCGTTCGTGCCGTCGCCCGTCACCGCCACCACCTCGCCACGCACCATGAGCATCAGCACCAGCAATTGCTTGTCCAGCGGCTGCGAGCGAGCCATCACCGTCATGTGGTCCAGAACAGGCCAGAACTTCTCCATCCGCTCCTCGTCACCGTAGGCGTCGTACACAAGATTTCGGAAATCCTGACCGGTCATGGCGAGGTCGCCGCGTGAACGATTAAAAATACCGCATTCACGAGAAATGGCAAGGGCGGTATCGAGGTTGTCGCCGGTGCACATCCGCACCGTCACGCCGGCCATCTGGCACTTCTGCACCGCCTCCGCCACCTCCGGACGCAGCGGGTCGTGAATGCCGATCAGACACAGCCACACCAGCTTCTCCGTCGGCTCGTCCTCCGGGAGCTCCTTCCCGCTCAGGGTGGTGTACGCAACACCGATGGTGCGGTTAGCGTCGGTGGCAAACGTGCGGAGTTGCGCCGTAATCAAGTTACGCACGTCATCCGTCATGGGGACCTCCTCGCCCGCCTCGTTCACGTAACGGTCGCACAGCGGCAGCACGCGATCGGAGCCGCCCTTCACGTGGTGCAGCAGCGTCCCGTCCTCCTGGCGCACCACGGCGCTCATCCGCTTCCGATCGCTCGTGAAGGGGAACAGCATGAACCCGCGCTTGTGGCACGCCGCACGCATCCGCTGGTGCGGCCGCTCCTTCATGTTGTTCACGTCCGCGTCCGCCAGCATCGCGCGGTCCACAAAGTCCAGCAGCGCGTTGTCCGTCTTGTTGCCCTTGTCCGTCATCCACTGCCAGTACGGCGCAACCGCGTGCCCCTCCTTGTCCGTCGTGCTCACAACCTTCTCGCTCGAGCTGTTGATCGCAAGGCTCTCCACCAGCATCTCCCGGATGCGGGGGTTGACATCATGAAGACACGTTATGGGTTGGGGAATGTCACCTGGTTGCGCAACACGAAAGCGCTGCATGCCCACGTAGCCCTGCACCACGCTCATCCGGTTCTGCGTCAGCGTGCCCGTCTTGTCGCTGCAGATCTGTGTCGCGTTGCCCATCGTCTCGCACGCGCGCAGGCGGCGCACCTGGTTGTTGTCGTCGTGCATCTTGTTCTGCGAGTAGGCCAGCGCAATCGTGACGGCCAGCGGCAGCCCTTCCGGCACGGCCACCACCACGACCGTGACACAGAGAATGAAGTAGTCGAGGAAGTGCTTATAGCTGGCGTTGGGGCGGTGGCGGACGAGGTCGGCAATTTCAATGCACGCGAGAATCACGAAGAGCACCGCCGCGGCACTGATGCCGATGCGGCCGATCTTCTCCGCCAAATCGTCCAGGCGCTCCTGCAGAGGCGTCGGACGTGGCGCACCCGCACCGCGCGACTCCATCAGCAGCTTGCCACCGAAGGAGCGCTCGCCCACCGCACACGCCAGCATGTACGCGTCCTCCGCCGTGTTCACAACAGTGCCCGTCAGGATGATCGGCGCCTCCGCGTTCTTCTTCTTCGGGTCGTTCTCGCCCGTCACGCTGCTCTCGTCGATCACAACGCTCATGCCGCGCACGAAGAACCCGTCCACGGGCACCACAAGACCGGGCGACAGGTTCACAACGTCGCCCACAACGATCTCCGTCACGTCGACCGTCACCTCCGCACCGTCGCGGCGCACGCGGATCGGCTGCGCGGAGTTCTCCTCCGTCAGCTTGTGGAACTTCTGCTCCTTGCGGTAGTCGTTCACCGACGACACAGACGTCACGATGAAGACGGAGCACAGGATGGCGAAGCCTTCGATCCACCCAGTCTTGTAGTTCGCCCGCGTCTCCCCAGGCTCCGGCACCGTCAGCCCCAGCACGAGGGACACCAACGCCGCAGCGGCCAGCAGGCGGATCATGCTGTCTTCCCACGCACCCTTGTAAATCTCCCAGAAGGTCAGCGGGGGGTCCTCCGGCAGCGCGTTCTTGCCGAAGAAGCGACGGCGCTCCGCGGCGCTGTGGGCATCGATGCCGTCCCTCAGAGAGGTGTGGAGGGACTTGGCGATGCCCTCCACCTTACCGAGCTCTTCGTAGGACGGCATGCCCTCACTGGCACGAGAGAAAATGTTCTCCAAAGGCACCTGCATCTCGCCACCGATGGCCCTGTCTGCTGCGGTGAGGGTGGTGTGTGGGGGCGGGACGGCGGCGGCACTAGCGCTGATCGTAGGGCGGATCGCCGCCTCCTCGGCGCTGACGACGACGTCCGTTGCGCCCATGTTTTGCCTGGTGGTCGAAGTTAAAGAAAAAGGATATATAAGATGAGATTTTTCTTTTAAGGGAGGAGGAGTGAGGTGGTGCCTGCGTCTGATCTCCGTCGAGCTGCCGCGTCGTGGGCGCAAGACAAAAGCCGCGGCTTCTTTCGATAAAGACAAATACAGAAGCGAAAAGGGTGTATATATGTATATATGTGCTGCGATTAGCAGAGAAAACAAGGCTTATCGCTTGCCGTGAATACCCGTAAAGTTAAATAGCCAAAATAAAAAAGAGGAGGTCTCTTCGGTGAACACCGATCACAAAAAGAGATGTACGAAAATGACAGGCTGATCAGCAGGGAAAAAAGGGAAAAGATCTCTTCTGCGAGTGTATAGGTCGCTTCGGAAAAGCACAACGAGGACAAAGGGTGAAGGGGACAGATAACACTTCGCAATTCGAACTACACAGCTTCACGAATTGCTCTGAAGCCGAAAGCAATAGATAGATATATAGATATATGTCAAGCAAGTGAATCTCCTTCACAGAAACTACGGGTGTTCTATTGAGCTGCGCTTCAAACCTCCCGTTGAGATGAATAGGTAGACGCGAAAGGTTTAATATTAATAAAAATAGGAGAGGAAATGCGAATTAAATGGCGGTAATATACGGTGCTTGTTTTTTGGAAAGGGGAAAGTTTAAGCACGGCCTGCAAGTACGGAGAACCAAGAACAAGAAAAGGGCGTCAAATGCCCAAGGAAAGAGCCGCGGCGAAGGTGCCTCAACAAAGAAAAACTCGTTCAACACCCCGGTGAGAGCTGAAAGCACCCAAATAATACTAATAAAAGAATTGCGAGAGAAGAGAAACACCAGAAAATGATAACGTTAACGGGAAAAAAGGTGTATGAAGGCGCGCTTTTAGAGTCGCTCTTCTCCGTGTACGAGACAGCAGGTTCTACTTCTCCTGTGTCGGTAAGTTGGTTCGCGACGCAGAAGAACTCGCTGACCCTTTTTTCTTCCTTTGAATTTCTTTTAAGAGAAGGCTGTCACTTCGTCCGTTACTCTTGTCAACGGAGCCTTCAGGAAACGGATTCGGCTGAACGGCTCTTCGTCTGCCGTCCCTTCGTATCTATAGCGTGTCCTAACAGTGCGCGTATCACTTCAAGATGGTGGCGCAGCGCCCAGACACACACACACACGCGGGTAAATGCCGGCCTGCGAGAAGTACAAGCACTGGATTCTCTCCTGTCGGATGTGTAATCTTCTTTGGGGGAGAAGGAGGTTGACGGCGAGCGGCGTGACACGCGGAAACAGCAACAGCAATATATATTTACAAACGAAAGGAAAACAAATCTTTAAACAATAATAATTAAAAACTCAAAAAAAAACGAGCGTTAAGCTTTTGACTCCTTTTTTTCTTCTTGTTTATCTGTTTTTAAGTTAAAGGGGGCGCGCAACTGGTAAAGCACAGTACTACAACGAAGATATATATATATATATAATAGAAAGCAAAGGAAGAGCCTACGAAAGAGAGAGGAGAGAGAAATGAAAGACTTAACAACAAGAAACAACAAGAGTAGAAAGGGGGGAAAATAAATGCTTACGAGAGACACACAACAGCACGAAAAAGAAGGGGGAGAGAAGAATCCGGGAGAGAGAGAGAGGTATGCGTAGTAATACGTGAAGGGAAATAGAAAGCAGAGAGAAAAAAAGTACTGCCTAATCTTGAAAGGTGCACGTGCGTATGTGAACGCAGAAGGTGGGAGTTTGGGATGTTGTAGGGGGGAGGGAGGTTCGTTCACGAAACGAGCTTCAACGCGCAGGGGAGGAGAGCCGTTGAGGAGAAACAGAAAAGCTGATGAAGTGAGTTTATGTATATATACATACGGCAAAGCCCATTCTTTTCCTTATTATCCTTTCCTTCATATATCAGAGAAGATGCGTAAGAGGGAGGGGGGTAAGGTTCCTTCGCAGAGGTTTCCTGTGCCTCATGTATGAGGGAAACCCAGTCTTTTTTGGGGGGCCCAGATGTAGTCAGTAAGAGGCCGTTTTATTCCTCTTTTTTGCTTTTGTAGGTAGTTAAGCACACCACGTTTGATCAGCAGTTGCTCTGGAACTCAGAGCGGGACGCAGCAGTGAAATTGTAAAACAATAATAATAATGGTTTTCCTTCGCAATGGTATTGACGCACACGAGCAGGTGTATTATTAGTTCAGCTCGAAATCTCAGAGTGTATAAGAGGGGAAACAAAGAAAGAAGAGGGGGGCCGCTGGGCGTCGGAGCGAAGCGGGAAAGACTCGGTATAAAACAGAACAAACAGGGTATTCTCAAATGAAAGCAACGGAACCCCTGACGGCCTATCACGCCAGCCATCTCTACTTATATGTGAAGAGTCCTGACATCGAGCGGCAGTGTTTGGTTAAGTATTAATATGTACGCTGTTCACTGGGTCAACGTGCCCGCATTCGGCAAAAAAATAAAAACCCGTAAACAATACGGAGGTGGAACCACCACCACCCTCTCCCTTCCCAACGAAGAGGCGCAAAGAAGTGCTTGTGGATGTGTGTGTGTGTGTGTGTGCATCCACCAAACCATGACGGGACGCCGTTGCAGACAATAACAAGAAGAAGAATAAAACGGAGGTAAAAAAAATGGATGGAGACGGTAATACGAGATACCTGCCCAAAAGCAAAACAAAAGAGAGAAAGAAAAGCGTGCACGTGCAGCGATGCGTGCCACATTGTTGGCTTGTTTATTTCCTTCCAATGACACACGAATAGAGTATTCTTATCATTATTATTCTTATTATCCTTAAGTCATGCCGGGGCTGTGTCTCTCCCGTTCCTGCGACGTGCGTGTGCTCACACCGACATTTCCTGTATTCGCAGGTGCGGCGTGTAATGCTCCACCTCGCGCCACTCCGCCGCTCCCATGGAACCCGGACGCAGCAGCACCACCACACGCGCCTGCGGTCGCCACAGTGCCAGTACGGCAAACAACCCCGGAACGGCCTCCTGCAACACCACCGTCTTCGCCGCCGCCGCACGAGCAGCAGCGGCGTCATCATTCGAGGAAGAAGACGGCGGCTCCTCCGTCTCCTCCTCGGCGGCAGCGGGGCCGCTAGCGCCTACGGTGAGATAGTAGTGGTTGTTGCCGAAGGCGACCTGCGTCAGACCCCGCAGCCCGCGGCACTCCGCAGCGACGGCGGCCGCGGTGGAGAAGGTACGGGTGGTGGTTGTAGCCCCGCTACGGCGCAGCCCACGTGCGCTTGACATCGATGCGGCAAGCGGGAACGGAGACGGGGAGGCTGGCGGGGAGGGAACGGGTCGTGGCCACGGCATCGCGGCGCCATTACCGCCGTCGTGCGTGCTCACTCGCCCTCGGCCACCCTCGAAGGCACGAGACTTGCTGTTCATATGGTGGGCGAGAGAGCACCCGTTGCCCCGCCGGCCCCGCGTTGCTCGACCACTGGTGAGGGGCGAGGCGACGACGACCAACGGCACCGACGACGCAGCGGGCAGCCGCACTGCACAGGCGGTGGCGCAGCACGGCATGGCGGCCTCCCGCACCGCGGCGAGCGTCATCGCGGGACGGTGGGCGCGGAGCGCCGGACACTCGCTGCACCGCGCAGGCGGGTGCGGATGCGGATGCGTGTGCGTGCTAGCGCTGTTTCTCGCCGTGACCGCTTGCAGCTGCTGCTGCCTTTCCATGCGAGTCTGCTCTGCGTGGGTACGGAGGGACTCCGCCAGCCAATGAAGGTCACGCACCCGCGCGCAGTATCGCACGTCGAGGTCGGCGAGGTGCGGCAGCGCTGCCATCAACGACGACAGCGCTGAAGCATCGACCGAGGTGCCGCTCAGCTTCAGCACGCGCAGACGCCGGCACCGCGTGGACACACACTGCACCTCCGACACGCAGTGACATCCGTGGAGGCGCAGCTCCTGCAGCAGCGGCCCGATCACGCCGCCCACCAGCGCGCGCAGCATCGTGTTGTTCATGGCGGTGTAGCTCAAGTTTACCCGCGTCAGCACGCCGTTCACGATGGCGGGCGCTGAGGGCACAGTGAGGGAGAGCATCGTGCTCACGTTGATCCCACCATCTTTGACAGATCCACCTCCGTCACCCACCGCCCCATCAAAGCGATCTGCGCCACCTCCGCAGCGTCCACACTGCCTCTGCAATGCTGCTGCAGCTGACGCAGATCGGGACAGAGACGGCCGAGGAGCGCGGACAGGCCGCGCAGCCCCTCGCCACACCTGACCGACATGGTCCGCGCGTTCAGCAGCTGCCCACCGGGCAACCGGACCTCACGCAGCACCGCACAGCACCGCAGCGGCGCGACGTCGGTGATGGCGGCACACCCGCACAGGTCGATCGTCTCCAGCGTCGTCTGCAGGCCGGCGCTGAGGTGGGCCAGCGCGGCATCGGTGAGCAGCGTATCCGCCACCGATAAGACGCACAGACGCGGACAGCGCTGCACAATCACGCCTGCCATCGGGTCCGCCCGAAGGGAGCGGCAGCCAGAGAGGCGAAGCTCCCGTAGACACTGCAGCGCCCCTTCACTGGGCTGGTGTGTGTGACGCGCACCGTCACTTCGCTGGTAGGGAATGCCCAACGATCCGCCCGAGGTGCTCGGACGCCAGACGAGGAGGTGTGCTAGCGTGCGTACGTCGTGCACCGCACCCGCCAACGAGAGCGTGGTGCCGCCAAACGAAAAACACTCTCCCTCCCCTTCCCTCTCGCCCTCCCCGTTGCCGTCGTCCTCGTCGAGCAGCTGCCCCAACTCGGTGCAGCCGTCAAGGTAGAGGGCGCGGAGGTGCGGCAGCAAGCGTGGGAGACTGTAGAACTCGCCGTGCCGCAGAAACGCTGCGTAGGCGGCCCGCACGGAGGCGAAGTCTGCTGCCGGCGCGAGGGGCAGCCCGCTCCCTGCTTCGCTGCGAGTTGCCTCCCCCGCCCCTCCCTCCTCCGCCTCCGCTTCGTCATCGAAGGGGACGGCACGCCAGCTGGGCAGTAGTCGTTGCGGGGTTGTTGTTCGCGCCATCCGCATCGCCTCCACGCCGTGCACCGTGAGCTGCGTTAAGGTAGGAAAGAGACGGCTCAGGACGGGGATGACGCCACCGTAACCCTGCACCGACAGTGCCGAACCGCGCGGGGACGCAGGGGTAAATTTGCTGCCGTTGCTGCTGCTTCCTCTCGCAAGGAGCCGCTCTTCGTAGTTCACCCTCTGTCGTGCAGCACCGTCTAGGTCCTGTACCTCGTCGACAGCGCTCTCAGGAGAGGCCGCAGACGTGGCGTCCAGCACCGTCGCATCCGGCAGCTGCAGGCGCCGCAGCTGTGGGCAGGCGAAGGCGACGCAGCCAACCGCCACCACGGGCGTCTGCGCGAGGTACAGCTCCTCCACCGCCTGCATCAGCCACGGACAGGCTCGCAGGCACAACGACTCTAACGCTTCAGAGGTGAGAGAGGACAACCCAACGAGGTTCAGCACGTGCAGCCGACGCGAAGTTGCTCGCCGCAGCACCGCTGGGACTTCCTGCAAGTCCATGCACCAGCTCAAGTGAAGCTCGCTGAGCAGGGGCAGGGCTGCCACGACCTGCCCACACACGTCATCCGTCACCGCGCTGTGACTGAGGTTGAGGGAGAGTAAGTTAGGGCAATGACAGATCCACGGGAGCGCGTGGGGAAGCGGCATTGGCGAGGCGGGGGAGGGACTCGCTGCGGGGGACACCTTCAGCGGAGGCGCCAGCACCCAGGGCACACTGGGCGCCACGTACAGCTCCTCCAGTGGAGACGGCAGCAGCGGCGGCGGCGGCGGTGGCGGCATCGATGGTGTCGTCTCATCCATTCGGTAAGAGGAGGTGCTAGCAGCGCTGGTTGCTTCAGCGGAGCCCGTAACGCGCAGTGATGAGGGCGAAGGCGAAGGCGGCTGCGCGCGTCGACTCGTCTGCTCTTGCCTCCGCGCTGCAGATGAAGCAAGAAGATGCAACCTCACTGTAGCAGGCTCATGGAACGCCGGTGCTGCGCCGCTGCGCCTTCCCAAGTCACCCACTTCAAGAGTTACTATCTCGTTTCGTCCTATCTGAAAAAGGGGGGAGCGGGGTGGTGAGGAGACTCGGGATACGTGGAGATGCTCATCTGGCGAGAGCAGGGCACGCATCGGCGCCGTCGTCGTCGTTGCTGTTCGAGCTGCGCTGTCCACGCCGCTCCGTGGAGACGCGCTACTGCGGCGGGCAGCCGTCGACGTGTAGGGTGCGTCCAAGAAAAGGAGTCGGCGGAGACGCGGGGCGGCTGCACGGCGCGTATCGCCGTCAACTTCATCCATTGTGGGCAGAGACGTGCGTGTCCCAGGCGCGTCTGCTTTTGCGGGCCCGTGCACGCCCACCTGTAGCTGTTGCAGCAGCTGGCTCACCCAGCACGTCTGTGCGCCGGCACAGGTGGGAGGCAGCCCGGATATAATGAGCTCCTCCAGTGACTGAAACAGCGAGGGCAGCTGCGATGGCAGCGGCAACGGTGCATAAAGAGCGGGCAGATCGTCGCCGTTGTCGTCGTCAGCGTCTTCCGAGAAGCGCAATGAGTGATCGCCTTCTGTGTGCCCGGCAGACGCGTGGAAGGCCCTTTCGCCTCGTAAAGCACTCAATTCCCCGTGCACGCGACTCGCTGCTGCTGCCGCTGCGGCGGGAGAGCTCGTCATCCTCGCCACCGCACCCACGCCGGGCATCTGCAACGGCCAAGGAATCGGAGAGGACGGCGGGCAGTTCGATCTTCGCCGCGGCGCACACCGCGTCAACTGCGGCGGCGGCGGCGGCGGCTCGTAGTGCACCAACAGACGCCGGATGCTGCCCACGGACGGGAGGTGTCCTAGAACGTGGCAGCACTGCGTCAAGGCGGAGCACGAGAGCTGTACGGCCTGCAGAGAGACCGACACGGGGGGAAGTCAGCAAGTGTTTCCCCCATCGAAGGAGGCGCGGCACCACCCACGGCATCGTCATATGAAGGCGAAGCTGACGCAGCGGGGACGGAGCACGGCCGCCCTCTACGCGCGCTCACGCCTGTCGCTCGCGGAGACGGTGCGGACGCCACGGCCGCCGTGCCGGAAGCGGTGCTCCCAGGAGGGGACGAAGAATCGAGATGAAACAAACCTTCAATTGGCGCGCGTTGATCGCCATAACTGGGGCAGCGATCGTTCCCCTGGCGTACGCACCGCTGAAGCCACCACATCGCCAGCTGCAGCTGTCGCGCCGTGCAATCTGGCGGAGCGAGCGCCTCACGACGCTGCCCACTCGACTCGCCTCGGCCCGGCGACAGACCTGCTGCCGGCTGCTGCGGCGCCAGAGGAAGCAGCGGTGGTGGTGGCGGCGAGGAGGAGCACACGTCGTCCCTGTTGGGGCGAGGAAGCAGACTGCTACGGGGTGATGCAGGCCATTGCCCAGGAAGCGGAAAGGGACATGAACGCGGCGGGGATGCGGCGTCGAGCTCGACACAGTCATTGGCGCTTCCGTGTAAAACAACAGAGAAGCGCAGCGGCACCACCCTGTCGTCGCCGTCCATTAACGTCGTAGCCCAGCTGCTCCTTTCCTGCGCAATGCACACACGGCCCACGGTGCACCCAACACTGGCAACGCTGCTGCCATCGCCACCGCTGCGAGGCCTCAAGCTGCGTATCTGACGACAGTAGGCGATGAGCGCACGGCGGCCCAGTGCGTCACCGCGCTGACACTCCACGCAGTCCACTCTCCCCGTAGACGGTACCCGACCAAACAAGGCGGAATAGAATTGTGAGGAGCTCCACTTCGTCCCAAGCGGGTGCTCGCCGCACGTATTCGTTGAATGGAAACGTTCATGGGCACCGACGTGCAGCTCTCGGTCATGCGGGCAGGTCAGCGGCGCAGAGCGGCTTTGCACCATCATTCGGATGCGTGGGTGCGCCGCGATGAACGCGAGGGGGACTGTAAAGGGTGGTAGCCCATTGCCGCGAGTGGTATCAGCCTCGCAAACGCTGCTGCTGCTGCTGCTGCTCCGGCTGCGCTCCAGCAGCGTACTCGCGGAGCTGCTAGTCCTGCCTGCGCCGTCACGTGGGCTTGGGTAGCCGACAGCGTCCTCCTCGTCTGACGCGGTCGCCTGCGCGGGTGATGAAAGCGGTGCCGCAGGAAGGCCGGCGTGGGTAACGGCGACGGATGAAGGGACGAGCAGCGGGGCTGCACCTTTCGTTGTCGGCGCGGGGCCCACCGTAGGTTCGGAGTCATTTGACGAAGGGATGTGGTGGTGCGAAGAGTGTGCCGGCAAGAAACTGCGGATGTGGAGCAGGGCATGGGGGTCCATGAAGGGAAGCCTGTCCTTTCGAATCGGAGTAGCAGCAACGCGAGGGGAGGGGAATCGCAAGAGGGCAACAGTTTTGGGAACAACGGGGGAGGAGGGGAAGGAAGCGCGCTGATCACTTCGGGAAACAACCGAACCGTTTCGTGAGGGAGGACGTTTGGAATGCACCAAGGTTAGCAGCAAAAGAAAGCAATATAACGCGCTCGCAAGCTGACGTGCGTGTGTGTGTGTGTATAGAAACACAATGGGGGTGTATGTCTTCTATTTACAAAGACCAACGAAAAGATCACGCAGTGAAGTCGGTGTGGCAATACAGCTGTGGAATGAATAGCAATGGAGGTCACGAGAGAAGCGGTGGCGAGTGCCAAATAATCCAAGAAGGATCCGGAGAGTGAGGTGTGAGGGGGAGGGGGGGGAATGGAGAACACAAGATGGAGAAATAAGAAATAAGACGGCAGGCGCAGTGTTTTTTGGTTGCTGCCTGCTTTGCCTTTCCCCTGTGCTTCTCCTTTTGTTTGTGACAGACACACACACGCACCGTGTAGCGAAGGAACGCATCGGAGCACTCCACCCCACCAGAGAAGGCGCGTGGAACAGCTGAGGAGGCAGGGGAGAAGGTGGAGGAGGTGAGAGCACGAAGCCGCCTCATCGTTTCGCCTAGACCGTTGGGACGCGCACCGCCTTCACCGCAGCGACCACGAAACGCACATATATTTTTTCTTCTTTCTCCGCCCTTTTGTTCTCCCTGAGTTTGATTGGTACGAACGGACGATAAGAGTTGTGTGCGCGTAAGAGAATCCAAAGAAAATTTTAAAAAAAGCGCAGTTGACAAACGAATCGCAGCACCCGTCATCGCACCGAATGAAAACGGTGAGGCGACACACCCAGGCAAACAGCACTCGCACAAGCAAAGAAGGAGCGAAAGAGAGAGAAAGAGCTGCTCGGCAACGGCGGCACACGACGTACCCCGTCCCACCTCTCCATTCCGTGCTTCACTCGTGTCGCCGCACCACGGCCCCGACGGAGCGTATCTCCTCCATCACCGACCGCTTAAAGCGCAGCAGCTCCGCCACAGCACGGCGCAACTTGTCGTTCTCGCCCGTCAGGCGCTCGCACTCGCTGAGCACAGTCTGCCATTCACGCGCGTCGGGCGGCAGCGGGAGAGCCGGCGGCTGCGGTGCCTCATCCACGGCGCTCGCTGACGCCGTCGCACTCACTGGTGGAGCGGCATCTTGGGCAGCCTCCGGCACGCACACCTTCTCCTCAGAGGAGGCTGCATTCAACTTGGAAAGCGCCTCCGCCTTCTGCTGTTCTGCCACAAGTAACGCATGCATCGCGTCCGCCTTCTGTGCCGCATCGGCCGCCTCACGCACCGCCGCCTCCGCCCGCTGCTTCGCTGCCGCCACCTCCCTTCTCAGACCCATCGCCTCCGACTGTAGTGCATCTCGCTCCCTCTCGCGGTCCTCCACGACGGTCCGCACCTTTCCCTTCCACGACTCCATCTTCGCGCGAAACGCATCTACCGCCACCTTCGCTTCATCGCGTTCCTGCTGGGCAGCGGCCAGTTCCGCCTGCAGCCGTGCGATGTCCGCGAGCAGCGCCGCAGAATGGTCCTCCGCGTCTTGCAGCGCCGCATTCAGCGCCGCCGCTGTCTCCTCCTTCACAACCGCCAGCTCCTCCTCCAACTGTTCCATGCGCATCTGATCCGCCACCATAGCCTCCTTTACCCGCTCCTTCCATGTCATCAGCTTCTCCGCCTCGGCAGCTACTTTCTCTACAGCACTATCACGCTCCTGCTGGGCAGCGGCGAGCTGTGCTTCCAGCCGCGCAACGTCGGCACGCAGCGCCTCGGC